ACCGGGCGAATTTAACTTAGGTCGATTCGGTCTACCCATTGCTATCATCTCATCTATTTGGCTTTTTATCACATCAATAATCATGTTCTTTCCAGCAGAATATCCAGTTACAAAGGATAATATGAACTATGCTGTGGTTATCGTCGGTGGTATATCAATATTTGCTACAGTCTATTGGATTGTTTCTGCTCGTCATTGGTTTGTAGGTCCAAAAAGAACTACTAAGAATTCATTTCAATTATCACCAACTTTTATTACTACTAGTGGCACTACGAAAATATCGCCATCACCTAACGCTATCCATAGTCAATTGTGAGCTTTAGTATTGCTTACTAAGTGTATTTTGTCAGTACACGAATACTATTACGTAATAAGACACATTAAGACACTTCATTTCTCTCATTTTACTTTTACATTTGATTTATTTAAACTAGTATATTTTTCGGTATAAATATAAAATCATTAACTTGATAAACAAAGCTAAAACTTCGAAATTAATTGAATAAGATAATGTTTTTATTTTTCGATGCTATCTATTAGGTTGTAATGACTTTTGTTTTCGAAAAACTAATCGTATTCGAGGTATTAGTTCATTTTGATATGTCTAAACTATAGTACTTTGGACCGTAATTCAGGGTGAGGGAATTTTTTTAAAATTATTCTCCCGTAATAGGTTTTTCCTTATTTTTTGATTATACTTAGGGGTTTGCTAGGGGGAGCTGTAGGCTATGTCATGGCATAATAATATTGAGATATCATCATATTGACTTTATGGAAGAAATAAAAAAAGATACACGAAAAAATCAAGTGTGACATGAATTTTATTCAGCTTCAAAACTTATTTATTTGATGTAAGTATCAACTAATTTACAATAGAAAATGACATCTACATGTGGAATGTCCACGACCTAAATACAAACCGGCTTTGGTAATTGATTCTGTTTGTGTTAGATTAACATTTTCTAACATGATATTCAATATAACCAACACAGCAGTTGCATTATCGCGATAAGATGATTGAATACCTTGATGTGACCATTTTAATTCATCTATCCATTATGTTAATCCAGCCCTATATCTATACATAGTTTGTCTATGTGCAGCTCGTTCACGTCTTTTCTTTGACATAACTTGAATAGATACTGCTGATTGTTTTCGTTTTCTACCAGCACCTGGTCGAAAACCACCATGACCACGATCATCACGATCGTCGCTAGTAGTATCAGAATCATTATCCATTTTTTTTATAAATAAGTAAATAAGAGTGATTGGATAAAACACTACTGGTCAATGATAGCTGGTGTGTGGAAGCATATGACAGACAGGTGAAATTGCAAAATATCCCTAACAGTGATGGATAAAAATCAAGATAAGAAAATAGACAGTTATATATAACATAAATAGTTATTTATATGTAAGGGCAGTGACGGGGATTGGAACTAGGGGTAATCGTAGCTGGTGGCTCCCTCTGTATCACCATATACATATTGTACAATCAATATCTTTTACTGCTTAGAAAAAACAAGAAGGAGAAAAAAGTGTCAAAATTGAAAAAAATCAAGTTTTCACCCTGAATTACGTTCCAAAGTACGATAAAAAGCTTAAAAGTGTCGTTATATTTATTATTCGAAGGATGCATAACGATATGAATGCAAACAACCCGTCGTATGAACGTAGTTTTTTTTTCTTTGATAGTCTAGAGGAATAATTACAACACAGGATTGCCCATAGACAGTCTGCCTTGGGAGGGGAGGGTGGGGTAACTTTTTTTCGTTTTACGTAATCCAAACTTTGTCATTTGCCAAAATATATCGTACTGACTTGTTGGGACGTATTTCTTATGCAGAAATCGGACTTCCTCTAAACAACAAAAATTCACAAATTTGTAGAAAAATCCTAATAAAATTTAACTTTTTTATGAAGTACTCATCACTTCACAATTGAAAAACCTCGCATCAGGGCTCGTGTTAGTCTTCTCACGTGGTCTTCATGTGAAAAAGTCTTGATCAACCCACCTGATCTTAATAGAAAAACTTATGTTTCGAAAAAGCTGCCAAAAATCGTGCGGACATCAAAGAATATTTAACGAAGCGAAAATTTCTGTAGACGACTAAAAATTCTTCTCTCCGTTGCATTCTTTGTGGCACAAGGATGTCTTTGCAATTAACAAAGAAAATTTTGAATAGAAAGGATTTAGTCAAGATTTTATCAGGTTGTTATCAAGATCTGGTTCTAATCGTCGTATTAGGATCCTGCCAGAATTTATTGCTATATCAGACGAAGATCTCAGCAAGAAGGTAACAAGACCGGTTGATATCCTGAACTGATAACTTCTGCCAGGCCTCAATCAAGATCTGCTCAGAACTTTTCAAGAATAAGTGTTTCCAAATCTTGCAAGACAATACCAATCGTAACAGGATTTTAATGGAAAAACATAAGGGGTTAATTAGGATTTTCGTAGGTACTGTTTACTCTTCTCAGCCGTGTCTATTTTTTGAGAAAACCTTGAAGGATCTTCTTTTAGGATCGTAAATTTAAAGGATCCTGCCAAGTTCCATTCAGGATTCTTTCCAGGATTTGTTCAAATTCTTACTCAGATTTTTTTCTGAATTGAGAGTGTAGGACCCTACCAGGATCCACCCTTGACCTTATTCAGGGTTCTGACAGAAATCGTAGAAGAATTTTGGCTAAGATATTATCAGATTTTAGTCAGGATCTATTCTGGATTCTGATATGAGAAGTTTGTCAAGAATTACATTTATATCAAAGGAGAATCTTATTAGGAGTAAAAGTCGAATTAGTCGAAATCCTAATTTGATGAATTCTGTTTCAATTGCTACTTATTGTTCCTATGTGGATCTTCCCTAGACTTTTCCAGAATCCTGCACAAAACTCCTCAGAAACAAAAATTTCGGATTCATACAAAACAAGTCACATATAATCAGGATCTTGATGAGAAAATACCATGACCTAGATAAGACCTTCACGTGTTTGTGTTCAGAATCTTGTCACGATTTCTAACTGATTCAGTTATGGATCTTGGCAAGAATGGATGAAATGATTTCTTCATATTCTCAGCCAGTTTATGATCGAGATCTGTCCAAAATTTATTAATCTATAGTTCACAACATATTCTCAATACCAATTTTGAGCAAAAAATCTCAACAATAATAAATGGAAACGATTCTTCGAGATTTTATTAGAGTCGTGTTCTCAACATCATAGAATTTTGAGGATTCAGAATCAACTAGAATGTATCTTGATCTTGATTTCAAGCTATGTATAAATAAACACAGAGATTTTGACAGATTTTCAGAGGATTTTTTTTCTAGATCCTTGAGAATCCCATATTGAAGCTAATATGTCATTGAAGGTATAAAATCAATGATCTGTCAGATTTTAAGCTGAAGGATACTTGATAAACTCTCAGATTAGAGAGTTCACATCTGTTACTTTATCTTACTAATTATTTCAATACAAGATATATTCTTAGTGAAGTAACTCTTTCGGGAAGAACTGTTATCAACGTTATATATCCGCTAAAAAGAAGTTGGAAAACATTTTAAATCGAATTGAAGTCAAATACAATATAATAGAATTTTGTCACCTGAAATAATTTATGTTCATATACAATTCAAAAAGAAGTTAACATTTCAATTGAAATTTAAGATCTCGGACATTGACGTTATACACTGCAGCATGGCACAGTCCAGTCGGGTAAGCTACTCAGTTCGTAATCTGAAGGTCTAGAGATCAATACTCTATGTGTCTATTCACTTACTGTTCTCTCTAATGGTTTCTAATAGTATCCTGATAAGATTCTGGCGAGTTCTTTTCAAGAAACATTTTAAAAAATCCTGTAGTTTGTAACCAAATAATCATGAAGGTTACTGAAATTTTTTTTCAATGGGGAATTAATTAATATCCTGATGATATCCTGGTCAATGTCAAGTGCGAAACTGATCAGGATTGACGAGCTTCTTGAATTGATTCTTGATCCAAACATGGTGAAAAACTAGTCAGGATCTTAAATACTTCCCCGTTAAACATTTCTATAAATATCCCGTCCTTTCTTCAGAAAAAAAGAGCGCAATTCCTGATAAAAGCTTCACAGTATCTATCGAGAATCTGGTGCAAAAACACTAAAAATTCTCATTAAGATTGTTAAATTTGACTACACTCAAGTCTTTGTTCTATTTTTACGAAATGAAAACTTTTCCACATTCATCTAGAGATTTATTTTCTTCTGCGGATGTTCAGCAGAAGCATCACTTAAGCTTTTAGTCCAGTGAATATTCTCAAGATTTCTGCCTCTAACAGTGATTCTTCCGGCGAAAGTTGCTGAAAACTGAAGCTTTTCAATAAAAAGTCTACTACTTTCAAAGGCAAATACACTTATATAGTCGTGAGATTCTCGCGAAGCAAAAACTTTTTTGATGTTATCATAGAATTTTTTTGCTGAAAACAGTCACTTGACTCTGAATTTAGGCAAAGAAATCAGCTAGGCTCTGTATATCGTCTCAAAAACCTGTATAGTTTAGCGACAGCTATACAACAATCTTCGATGACTGGAGGAGAGATTACCCTACTTCCCCATCCGCTTTGGGCCGCCCTGAGTAAATGTAAGATTTACTTAGATTTTCGACCATTATCGAAAGTTGTACTTTTAATGAAGTTTTGCCCTCATAAAACCTGGACTTTTAGCAATTGGCAATAGTCCACTTTTGTGAAATGTGAAAGTTCCGTAAAAACACAACTTTCGGCTGTTGCCAATAGTCAATTGCGAAGGCTAATACTGCGAATTTCGCATTCCCATATGTATGAGGTCACTAGAGCAGTGTAAACTCCAAACGATTCTTTTTTTTCAATCTATTGTGACTATGAGATAAGATTTTTATGGAGAGCAAATTCTACGTGCTTGTTGTGATACCAAAGTTTTGGCCAAAATTATGCTAATGCCATTCTCTTTCCAAATCTTATATCTCAGTGATAATGGAGATCGAAAAAAGAATCCTTTGAAGGTTATACTAGTCTAGCGACCTCCTATGTTTACCTAAAATATGAGCTTTAAACAGATCGATGAAGTTAGCCTCATGTTCGAGTAAAACCAGCCGATATGGGTGTGGGTGTAGGTGTGCACCTCACACCCACACCCATCATATCTTCAGTCATTAGATAGTGGAAAACGTAGCACATTTCACAATGATCTTGGTTTATTCATGAGCATAAAAATACGCATTAAAAATATGATTGATTAAGCAAAAGAAAAAATGTTTGTTTTTTTGGCGTCGATTTGTCTTACAAAATTTCGGCAATTTGTGCATATGCTTCTACTAGATCTTCTGCCTGTTCAATGTTAACCAATTTTCCTTGTATTGTCTGATTGATTTTTTCGATAACTTTTTTGTTAAAATTTCCAAGAGCCATCGTCCAAAAATTGTTTATCAAAGCTTTGTTATTCTGATTTGTAGTAGTATCTATTTAAAATAAAAGAAAACATTAAAGTAGCATTTTCTCTCGGAAAAACGAATATGAATTCTTACGAACCTGTCTTGTAATCACGTAACTGTTGTAACTCCGTAGTCGGATATCCTTGAGGTTCACCATCAGTCATAAAAATAATCGTTTGTTGCATCTTATTTCGTTCCGAATCGTTATTGACTTCTTCAAGTGTCTTGATGACCATCTGAAATGCAGCAGAAAAATTCGTACCACTACCACAAATGTTCATCGGTGTGTTGATTCGATTGAAATCGATGTCAGTCACTCTTTCTCGATTGTAAATTCGTTCTGATCGGCTAGCGAATAGAATCATCGTGATTTCATCGTTCAGGGAAACTTGCTTAATACGAATATCAATAAATCCTTTGACAGCTCGACGCAAATGTTCCCATGGACTGATATTTGTTTCATTAGAGTTGTTCGCTGTGGCAGTCAGAGTTATCAGTCGTGTCAATATATTACTCCTTTCATTCATTGAACCAGAATGATCAAGTACAAAGATGAAGTGATTCACCGGTGATGGAGTATTTTGTTTGACAAATTTCATTCCATTACCAAAGTGGTCACATAACTGTTTACCAATTTTTTCCCAGATATAGGCATACGATGTTTCCAATTTTTCTCGAACTCTGAGACCGTCGCCAAAATCCCAATCAGCATTGGCACTCTTAAAATTCTTCCATGTCTGTCGAATATTATTATCAATAGTTATTGGATCATTGTCTTTGATGATCTCACACCATGATGTTGAAGCTTCATCAGTAATTTCATAACGTATACCACCCATACCACGAATTTGATGACCAAACTTGCAACAATGTCTGTTTTCTTCTTGTCCGATTGGAGAAGTAATGTTTAAATGATGATCAACATCACAAATACGCTTGCAACAAGGACATCGAGCTTGACAACCTCGCATTCGATTGCTTAATTGTTCTTCAATGATTAGATATGTATTTCGAATAAATGAAGTCAATTGATTTGACACTATTAATTCAGTTTCATTCTGTCGACTAAGTATTTTATCGAGAAAAAAACCAAGATAACTGATTGTAGACATTTCAAATGCGTTTTGAAGCAAACAAAAAACCTGCTTGATTTTTGCACTTGGTTTTGGAAAATGATCAATGATTGTTCGCCATTTGGAATCAACTGTGTAGATTGAACCATTTCTAGTAGAGATTTCGCTTGGAATATCTTCACCAACAAGATAGAGATAGAAGAGTTTGGACATGCAAAATTGCTTATCGTTTGCATGATCAGTCCTTTGCTCGTCTTTTAATTTGAATAAACTATCGACGAACGAAAGAGAATGCGCTCCTAATTCTTGCGAGATCGTATTAACCGTTTTTATTAACTCGAAAATGTCACGTAATCTCATCGAAACTAAATTCACGATCATATTAAGTTTTTCATCTACTTCTGCTTTGACTTTCGTCCATTTTTCGTTAAATCGTTTGATGATTAATTTAATAGGATAAAGAACATAACGTTTAAGCCAATCATCGGTAGCATGATAGACTTCATCATCAAGTTCTTTAATAATAGAACATCGATTTAACGTTTTTGTCATTTCGTTGTTAACATGCTTTTCGATAATTTCTTTGATTTGTGGTTGAAATAATTGACACAATACTTGAGAAAGTTCATTGATTCGATTAGTGGCTACATTTTCATCATCATTTTCAATAAGAACAACCCAAGGAAGAAATCGTTTGATCAATTTCGACTTGTTTTCAGATGCACATCTGATAACATGAAGAAAATGAGTTTTTTGTCGATTGTAATAGTATAAAGCTGTTGATATAACAGTGCAAATGTACAAAGTGCTACGAAACTGTTTAGATAAACAGAAATTAAATATGTTTAATTCATTGTTAAAATCTTGTATGACTTTGTTCACTGTTCCTAAAATTTTTTGTACAAGTGTGATTTCAGTCCAAGGTTCATCATTATTTGTTGAAGTTAAAATTTCTTTTATGTCAGCCAGTAAGACTTCGAAACATTTCGATATTTGAACAATAGTCATCCAATTGTCATTGAAGAGCTGAGAATATAGTTGACGTGCACCTTTCCTGACTGATTCTCTTGTCTCTTTGCCATCCGGATAGATGACAAAATATATTCTTGACAATTCATCGTTGTTAAGAAACTTGTGCGGTTGTTTTATTTCATTGCGAGAGATCAATGAAGACATATTGATCAGATGTGAAGTTAATGGATCTAAATTCGAAGATTCAGATATAAATTTGGCACGAATTTTTGATAGACAATCATCCATTGAGATTGACTGATCTAATGAACCATCATCCAGAGTCTTGAGAAAAGGTAAATAGACGAGTATATTATTTCCGGTTGGCAACACATCTTTGTCGAGTACATCACACAGATGAGAAACCATGTCAATCGATTGTTTCCATACCATTTCAGATTTGAATTTGTCTTTTATTTGAACGAATATATCTTTTAATTCTTCGTCGAACATCTCTGTTGCCGATTGTTTATCCATGAGATAATTTTTATGAGTGACACTGATTGCTTTTGTTCGAAGTTTGTTCTCGATATCATTGACTATTTGATCGATTTTGTATCGTCTGGATGCCATTCTAGCTGAAACTTCCCATGATCGAAAGATACTGATTAATTGTACTTGCATAAATTGCGATGATCGTTCCTGAATATTCTCACTTGCTTGACATTGTCCACAATGTTCTCGGAGTCTGTCTTCAAGAGTTTTTAAAATACGTTCATATTCAATCTTGAAGGAATCTTTGATATTATCAGTACTGTTCTGTTTTTCTTTGTCCATTAGATAACGAGCGACTGTCGGAGATAAATATTGATCAAAATCGCGTCGAATATCGTCTCGTATTTTGTTGTATTGATCACGTTCGAAGACATCTTGAAAATGAGTTAGATCAGGATGTTTTTTGATTGTTCGAAGTATTCTATTCGCAAATGCGATCCAACTTGTCGGTATACAGAAACCATCACCAGTTTGTCGAATAATGTCGGATGAAGTATCGATGAGAAATTTACAAAGCTTTTGAACATTTGTTACAAATGTTATGTCGGTCGAGAATGCTGCACATTTTCCATTCAAAATTTTAAACGGATTTCGATTAAATGCTGTTGATAAAACATGAAAATTGTCGGGTTGAAGATTGATTTCATTGTCTAACTTATTATCTTTTAAAGTTGTACGAACACATTCAAGAAGTGTTTTACAATACTCTTCATCCGGATTGGGCCGTTTGTTAAGAATGAAATGCACTGTTGGTTGTGTAACACGTGTCTCACCAAGATATTTGAGAGCTTGTGTACAAAGGACAAAAAACTTTCTCACTGCTTCATTTATTTCAATTTCAACATTAACGATCACCAAATGAGATACAGCCAAACAGAAGAGAATTAGCCGTTTATCGTATTGTTCATCATGTTTCTGAATAGACAGTAAACCTTCCGTATCAATAACAAGAATGTAATCATAATCAAGTGGAATGAGTTGGTTCTTGTTGGTTTTACTTTGAACATTGATTAATGTTCCATAAATACCTATAATGAAAGAAATCTTCATAGTAAGAAAAATCAAAGAATATAAATTAATTATTTTTCAGTGGTGTGCACCGCCCGCACGGAGACGGCAGACGGCCGCGTCTAGATCATATTAGATAATGTAATTTCTTTAAATTGAATTTCGAAAAGTAAAGCTAATTTTACTGTCTTTTGCCTGCATCTATGTATTTTTATGTTAAATTAAAAGTCAAAAAATGAAGTGACATCGACAGGATAATTATTCTTAAGAGTAAATCAAATTTCAGTGTATTATAATGGCAATAGTTTTCATTTGGAATATTATAGACTACGCCTTATATATATTTTCTCATTCTTTCAATAGTCTTTTCGTCACACATACTAGATATATTATTCGTTTCAATTGTCCGTTCCACTGATATAGAATATTATTCTATATACGTACCGTTTTGTCCGTCTGTCTTGTCACCCTTGTATTTATCTCTCCTTTAGTGTTTCTATACTCTTTGTGTAAATATATTTGTTGATAAACTATATCAATAAAACTGTCCTCGTGTATTTATATATTCGTTCTTTCTTTTTCTTATAATATACATTACATTAGATTAATTAGACCTTATGTATATTTTTTAATAATAAATCATACGAAAGGTGAAAGTATCCAGCGAAACTGTATATAAACTGTTGTTCTTCCAAATCTAGTATTGCTTAACAAGCATTCTGAATCCATGTTAGTGCAATAAATCTATAAAAAGGATCGAGAAAATAATTCTCCTAATATCATAAGGCAGCCACCACCTCGATTTTTAAGCGCGGTGCACACTTCTCTTATTTTTGTCTTACCCTTTGTGCATCTGCCATCGCGTGCTTCAAATAAAGTACCAAACAAGAAATTAAGCAATGTGCTTTTACCACTATTCTGTGGTCCATTTATACTGATGACAAAAAATTTCTTGTTTGGAAATAATTCAAACACTTTTGTTAGAAAATTGCCTTGCATTTCGAAATTATCACCATCGACTATTTCAAATGGATTTCCCTCAGCAATATAATCTCGATAGGTGTTGACAAGTATTTCCAGTTCCGCATTGGACAAACTAGTTGAACCGATAATTGCATTACGCCAGTGAATTTCGAGTGATAATTGATTATAAAACGGTAAGTCTTTTTGACCTGTCTTCTTTTTATCTGCTTCTTTTCTCAGTTCCATCGATAGTAAATGCAACTTGGTTAATCTTGATTCTTGTTTCTGAAGTAAATTGAAAAATAATTCAAATCCGGCACCATATGCATGAGAACCCATTCGTTGCTTTTCTTTAAATTCAGAATCAGCATTGAATAATTCAAGATTGAGTTTATACAGTTTTTCGTCTTGAAAATCTTTGTCATATGGATCTATTTTAGCTACTTCCAATCTCTTCTTACATAGTTTTGTAAATAAAGTGTATAATAAATAATTCTCTTCTTTCCCATCAATAAGAATAGATCGAATAGAATTAATAAAAGCTATGTCTTGTTCAATGATTTCTTTTTGAGTGTTATTTAGTAGTCTTTTGAGATATTCTTGAATTGATTTCTCATCCAAACATTGAAGTTGAACTGTATCACGAAAGATCTTTTCACGTACTTCATCAATTTTCTCTCTGTTCTCGTCCGTAGTTTTGTCGACAACATTTGGCAAATAATGACTTTGGCAATGAGAACAAACAGAACATATAGTTTCAACAGTTGATTGTATTTTCTCATCATTTTCATCGTCAACATCACGAATGAGTAGTAGAACATAGCTTTCAGGAGAGAGTAATTGAAGATATTTGATAACATTCGATTGATTCGAACATAAATATGCTGAATTGACATGAATGAGAAAACCATTGAATAACATCGATATTTGAGCAAGAATTTCACTTGAGATTTCCCCATGAGTATCTGCAATATTTATAGGACGTCGTTCAACAAAATGATAGCCGAAATCAACATCGATGGTGGCAGAAAAATATCTATCTTTCATTGATTGTTCAAAGTTACTGTCGAATAGAGTATTCATTAATGAAGTTTTTCCTTTACATTGTCCAATGCCGAAAGAGAGTAATACGGGACGATGATAATCCCATACATGAATGATATTAGATATCGAACGATATTCATTGTTCGTAGAATCGAGAGGTGGTTGAATCATTGGGACAGAATTACGTTTGCTGAGAAGAGATGTTAAACGTCGACAGAGAAATCGATCGGAGTTCATCATGATCGTGTCGATTAAGAAGCGTTGACTCACACAAGGGATATCTTTTTCTTTTGAAAGTAAACGTTTGAATGGATTGGAAAAATCTACTAGATTTTGTTCACGTTTCAATAAATACATAATTGGTTGTACAGTTTCAGAAATAAGTACATTGAAGTCACGATTTGGATCGCTTTTAAACCGATTAACAATTTCAGTTGCAATATCTCTCATTGTTTTTTCGGTATATTGAAGTTCACCAGCAATAACAAGATATTTCGAAGAGTACTGAAATGTATCCAGTATTTTATTTTCTATTCAATAAAAATTGACAGAATTCGTACTCTTAATGTTATGATTGAATTTCTATCTAATCATAAAGATGTTCACTATTAACGAACCTGATTTTGAATTAGGATCGGGAATATTGATTTGTATTGGTTTTGTCACATTTATTCGTAGTTCATGATCGAATTGAATTGTTGAAATGAGTTTATGCAAATCGACAATAATCGCTTTGATCTAAGAATACAATAGAATTTTAAAATAAAATGAGAAGGTTACTTTACCTTGTTAAATTGTTTCGCCCATTCTAAATGTTTTGCTTGATCCATGCAGAAAATATAAATTGTCAATACTTGTGGTAAGTCATGAATACGAGGTAGTAGCTCTCTACCGAATCCTCCACTGATAACAATAATAGCTCGACTAGTTTTGGAAAGTTGTTGAATAGCATTTTCACATTCGTCAACAGATTCGAATGTTTTAAATTCATTATGAATTTTAATTAAAGTTTTCTGTGCCTGTAGATTTTCTTTACTGCTATTCACAGAAGCATCGACCCACATTAAAACACAATTTTCCACATTATAGTTGTTTGCTTGAGAATTCTCGGGAGATAGAATATTTGTAGTCATCTTTCTTTGTTTGACTGAAATTACTTTTTTATTGTTTGTAAGAAATTCGTTGTGTTTTCGAGATGTTTTATAGAGGGTTTCAAAAGGAGTGTTGTCAGTAAATATTTATCGAACCTGTGAATTTTTTCACGTGTAATGATGTCTCTAGGCAAACATGAATCATCTGATAAAGCACATTATGTTGAGAGATGTCTTTATCTGACGTTTCGTCTATGCAACTCCGTCACTGGTGTTACAACAAATGCCTCAAACATTTGCCCACTCTGAAAATATCCAGAAGTCGAATTCGTATTCAAAAACCAACATACAAAATTGAGAAAAAAAAATTTCTTTGAGTAGACAAATAAGAGACGTGTTGGTAACTTTTCATTCTAAAGATGACGTCTGTTTCACATTTGACGAGTAATACCAATCAAGATCTTGTCTAGCTTCACCTACGAGCTGAAAAGAATAAACGAAGACTAAGAAATTCTTTTTCATTCTGCTATTTTTATAACCAACTGCTCAGTTCAAAACACATGCGTCAATATGTTGACGGTTCGATGCAATACACACACTGTATGACAATAATTATGCACATTATGTCTTGAATTGAATGATAAAAAATGGCGAGCTAAATCCAAATTCATCGAACTATTATTGTTGTAGTAAGGTTGTGGGTGTTGTTCTTATCTTCACCCACACCCACCTACACCCTCTCTTTGATGCATATATCTTCTCTTTGCATTTTTCGCGGAAAGTCAATGTATGTGAACAAAGGACACATGAATAGTTACTTTTATTTGCGTCGAAAAAGAATCAATTAGAAAATGGAGAATTGTGCAGCTGGTTGACTATTAGCAGTGGGTTTTTTTTCTACTTCCAAGATAAATAACGCTAAGTAAATATTCAGGTGAAGTGACGATGAATCAACAAATGCTGACAACACCTTTTCATACAGAAGAATCGTTAGACATTATTGTGCAGAGTAATCAACAACAGTGCTTTTGGTATACTATGTCAAGTCTTCTACACTAAAAAGATATAGATTTCGTACGAAACTTTCAGAGTTTCCTATGTGTAACGATGCAAAAACCATGTAAATTTCATACGACAGAAAGGTTTTGTGTGCACGAAAGGAAACCTGCCATAGCATATTCCAAAAATTATAGAAGAATTTTATTAAGAGAGTGTCCATGAGGGCATTGAGTATTTGAAGCACTCGATAAAATTTTTTTTTTCGATTTCTTTTGCTCTTTCAACACATCAATGTCTAAAACCACTAACCCTAAAATTTTAGGTTCTAATACCCTTCCTATGAAAAGTTAGCCAATACCGATTTTTAGCACTATCATATCATTTTGGGGAAAAACAAGAAAATATACGACGATGGCCGACTAAATTAAAGATACACACACAACTATTGCCGACATCAAGATCGTATCTCATAATCAAAGTCTTATTTTATCATTCAAATTAAACTATTCAACCATACCCAGAAAAACGACTCCTTAAGAGCCAGTTTAGAGAGGTTGCGACAAAATGCAACTGAGACTATTCCATTGAGATTCTCTAAATTTGATTTTAAGTGGATGGATTTAAAGCGTGTCTATTAATGAGTTTTTTTTTACTACAAATCGTAACGCTGTAGCACAAGCTGTTGTTGAGATCAGAGATCCGAGACTCGCCGAGTTTCCCCGCCTCGCCTCGCCTCGCCTCGCCGCGAGGCGAGGCGAGGCAGTATTTTTTGCACCGAGGCGAGTACGAGTTGGTTTTGAGACTCGCCGAGTCAACTCGCTTACTTATACAATATAATTTTTGGTGATTAAATAGTAAATCGCTAACGATATCTCTCGATTTTATTGTGGATTTTTTTAAGAATTTGTATTGGTGATGAAATTCAACTAATCGCGACAATAAGTGAGTATGGATATATATATTATATATGTATTCATCTATTCGGTCTAGTCGAACATATATATTATATATATATGTATTTATCTATTCGATCTAGTCGAACATATATATTATATACATATTCATCTATTCGGTCTAGTCGAACATATATATTATATATATATGTATTTATCTATTTGATCTAGTCGAACATATATATTATATACATATTCATCTATTCGGTCTAGCCGAACGATTTCATTTATGTAATTCTCAGTGTGAATTTAACAATGCACCTTGGTTATGTTATTTTAGTTAACTCAATAATTTACAATATAAATTTAGTTCTAGATACGTATTATGTGCTCGATAAACTCTTGTTCTTCTTCTGGTGATATCATCGATGTTACACAAGAAACTTGTTCAGATTCTCGCAATATTGATCATACGTTATCAAATACTTCTCAAATGTCCTGTAAAAGGATTTATAATTTACTCGTGCGTAAAGATGAAACTCTAACAATAATCGAAAATACGAAGAAACATACTGCAAGTTGCTGGAGTCAATTTGGATTTCCAGCTATTGTTGATAATAAAGGCGTCGTGGTGACAAAATTAGACAACTTTGTTTCATGTAAAAATTGCTACGTCACATATTCTTATAATAACAATAGTACCTCACAAATGAACAAGCATAGTTGTGGAAGTTCACCAATTAGATCTTCAAAAACATCTGATACAATATCCTCATCGCCTTTCAAACAAAAAAAAATTTTTTCTTTCACTTGTAATCGTCCAGGATCGATTAAACTAAACGAAGAAGAACGTAAAAAGGTAAAAAATCTTCTTACAGAATGGGTCTGTATGGATATCAGACCATTCTCGATTGTCAATGATCGTGGACTTAAATCTTTCGTTCAAGAATGTATTTCTTTGGGTATTTCATAACATTTTCACAAATATTCCTTTTTTTATTTTATTTTTTTTGTTCATAGGGGCAAAGTATGGAAATATTCATGTTGACGATATATTATTTGGTGCTGATACTATTTCATCTCACGTCGAAATATTAGCTAATCAATATCGATCTGAGATTCGACAAAAACTAATTGAACCTTTATCACAACATGCTATAACAATATGTCCCGACATGTGGTGTGATTCTTATCTACAAGTTTCATATTTGGGTATTAGTGTGTGTTTTACAGATGAAAATTATCAATTTTTAACATATGATCTTTGTTGTCATCCTTATAGTGAAGAAGATAAAAGTGCTGAAAACATTATTATTGTAAGCTCTAAATTTGATGATGCAGACTGTTTTACTTTTTTCTTCTAGGCATTAAAAAAAGCACTTGAACCTTTTGGTATTGCTGATTTATCCCAATTGAACTTTGTTAGTGATAGAGGCTCTAATTTTATAAAAGCACTTAAACCATATTCACCTATATATTGTGTAGCTCATAGGCTAAATAATATTATCAAGACATGTTTTTATCAAACAGGCAAAATTAAACGAAAAACAGATGATGGTATTCCGAATGAAGCACTTGAATTAGTTTATTCATCAGATTCTGATGATGATACTGATAATTATGAAAATTATGCTATTGTAGCATCTTCATTCGGTTATGATTTAATTGATGTCGATTTAATGGATCTTACATCATCTGCAAAAAAATATTCTTAAAACGATCTCATCTTGTAAAATTTTGGTAAAGTTTGTAAAAAAGGTGAGAATTGAACAACTTATTCAAATACAGTCGATAAAGCATATAGTGAACAATATAACGATCAAAACTAATTGAATAAAAAACGCTATATAGTTAGTCCTTGAAAAAATACCTATTAGAAATTTTTTCGGAAGAAAAAATGTCGGATACAGCAATATTCGGAGAGAGAATCATTTGTAATTTTTTTTAAATAGCAGAGGACTCATTTCTCGAATACTTTCTGATCTTCAATGCTGTATTCTTGTGATCAAAAAAAAAGAAATAGTGCTTTACTAATGTGCGCATTTTTTTCATACACGATAATATAACTTTTATTTTTTTTTATAGAGTGGATTGAATAAAATAATTCAGGATCAAGGTGGTGTTGCTGTATTGCAAGCAACAACTGTTAGATGGTTATCAATGGTTCAACTTCTTGAATCGATTAATCGTTCGTACAAACAAATAAAAAAGATTTTGGCCGATAGAAAAAAGATTATTGTTCTTGATAAACTTATAATTTTACAACTTATTTTTCTTTTACGGCCATTCAAACATATTATTTTGATTATACAGAAGGGCAAAGAACCTACATTACATCTTGTGACAATAGCTATTTTAACACTACGTGATACTTTTAATACACATAAAGCTTTAATAGAATACAGTCAAAATTATCAAATAAATCCATCAACATCAGAGTTGGAGGAAGATGAAGAATATTTTGAAGAAAATGAAGGTCTAAACTTGTGAAATATTTCAACTGAACTTTTTTTTTGTTTTTCTAGGGTTACGTTTCTTCCGGATACGTCTCTATCAATTACTGAATTCTATGTTTGTCATAGAACCAATTCATCTAGCTGCTACATTGTTACATCCTCGGTACAAACTATTGAAGAAATGCCCCTCATCTGAAGTACGGATATGTTATGCATACGTTCGAAGTCGTATGGCACACATTAAAATTAGAGAAATGAACAAAAAAAACAGTTCCACTCAACAACAACAAACTACAGCCATTGCTGATGCTAGTACCTGTGAACCTGTTACAAAAAGACGTAAACGTTTTGGAGAAGAGTTTGAGACAGGTAATATCAGTGATGAATTTGACGACGAGCATGATGATGAATTAAGCAAATATCTTAAGCAACGCATTGAGGTCGATTCAATCGACGATAATCCTTTAAAGTTTTGGTATGAACATCGATTCATTTATCCAATATTATCAAAACTTGCTCGATCAATTTTCTCAATTCCAGCTACTACAGCTAATGTCGAACGCCAATTTAGTGCCGGCGGTTTGATGGTCAACTCTAGACGTACTCGTTTAAATCCACAACAAATAAACAATGCATTGTTTATTCGTTCAGTTAAAAAAAATGAATGATTGTTATTTATTTGTATCTCATTGTTTTTTGTTTTTTGTACTTATTTATATGTATTAAATGTACTCCATTTGATCTTAAGAAATAAAAAAGATAGTGATTGTTGTGGGTGGTCGAAAAACTGCCTAAAAAAACCGTTTTTATGCTAGACCCGAGGCGAGGCGAGGCGAGGCGGTGGCGAGTCAAAGTTGAGAAGGCGAGGCGAGGCGAGGTGGTGATGAGCAACTCGCCAGCATGACGAGGCGGTGGCGAGTCGCTTTTTTGGCTGACTCGCGGATCTCTGGTTGAGATCTAATTTTTTTACCATCACGTATCCTTTCTCGTGAAAGTGGATGACGACTCGAGGGTGGATGTGTGAGTGTGAGCATGTGGATGTGGAGTGTTGGGTGTGAGTGTAGGGTACGCGGTACGGGCGAGCCTGCGCGTGAGTATGGGTTTAGGTGTCGATGTGTAGGTATGGGTGTGGGTGTTGGAGTATGGATTTTGGGGTGTATATGGCAGTGTAGGTGTCGGCGTTGGTGTAGATGTCTGTGTGGATGTGAATAGTTCTTACTACGAATGAAGAGCCACAACCATACCTAACCCACACCCACACCCTCTTATGAAGATACAGAATGTCTCTTGGAAGAAACATTTTCTTTATGATGTCACAATTCACTAGGGAGTCGATTAAAAATTTATGGAATGGTTTCATCAGATAGGCTGACTTTGCGTTTAGCCTATATCGCTCAAAAAAACCAAAATTGTCCGTGTATTCACGAGTAAAAAAACGTCGCAAAATAAAAAAATGGCATTTAAAAATTTACGAGTTTTAAAAAATCTGGTGTACTCTTGACAGTCAGTTCCGACCTATTTCTTTTTCGCTCTACAATCTATCACACCACTAAAGTTCAGAAAAATATAAGTTTTTTTGTAAATGATTTTATTATGTTTTTTATAGCACTTATCACAATGGTCCTTAGAGGGAATATTCAGCTTTTAAGGGTTAAGCATTCACCAAAAACAAAATTAATATTCTAAGTTTCACTGAATAATTTCTTTTTTTTTTATTTAACTATTAATCCTAATTATTTGTTGATTATGTACTTCCGTTCTCTGTTGTATTGACATCAGTTCCATTTTCAATTAAAAATCTCATAACATCAACATGATTGTTTAATGTAGCTATAAAGAATGCTGTTTGACCAGTAGTATTTAACTCATTAGTATCTGAATCAATTGATGCAAAATCAAGATTATTACTAGCTTCAACACATGGTTCAGTTGTATCTAAATCACATAATTTAGATGCAAGTAAAAATAGTGTCGAACTTAATTTTGTTATAGCATTTGGATCACCACCATGTTTAAGAAGTAATTCAACAACATCAAAATTTTCAGAGTGGGTGTGGATTGAGATAAGTTGAAACCACATCCACATCCAAAAGCACACAACTAAATCATTTAGTGAATATGTACCAAAATGTAATAATATTAGTTTTCTTGTTTATTAAAAAGTATGGATATGAATGTCGGAAGATTTGATCGACATCCGACACACCCTCTGATCGGTATTTCATCGCGCATACAATCTAGAAGATACTTTTTACTGTTAAAAAGAATATTTATTTCCATCTTAAAGGTAGCAAAAAAAAATTTATTAAGAAAGCAAATAATTTGTTTTTTCTTTATCCTGTGGTGCTTTCAGTTTTTTCTTCATAGATATATGAAGCGAAACGGGATGCTTGTTCAGATTTAATGAAATCGAAATCAATATTATTGAACTCATTCCTTCGAACATTATCACTTGTAAGTCCAGTTACATGTTGAATCAGAAGTGAATAGATAACATCTTTCAATGGACCCGCATAGTAATATTCACATTCTATCCAAGTGCTATTTTGTTCTTTAATTAACCATAGATCTTCATTTGAAGTAGAATCTAATATAAGATCATTTAATATAGTTTGAAGTTGTTGAGATGGAATAAGAGATAATTGAGAAAGATGAAGAAATATTTTAGCTGTCATATATCGAACTTTCATTGAGTTTGATTTCAAATAAGATAACAAACGATTTAAAACAGCGTTTTCATCTTTAATTGTATGAATATGTGTTATACATTTAAAACCATTGTTTTGAACATTTGGATCATCATATACAGTTTCAATGAACATTTCACATAGGTCGACTGTTAATTCCCCCAACACAGATAGAATTGTTAAACAAGCAGCACGTTGTGGAAAATTATGTTGTTTACTCGTGTAAAATAATGCATGTTTTAGATTATTTGCATCGCTCCAATCTTTGATAAAAGCACAAAATGCTGTCGGCATACGTACAGCAATTAAACTAGCGATATTTACATGTTGAGGATATCCAAAAGCTAATTCAAAATTTGTATCTACTATCGGTAATATTTTAGCAGTATAATTGCGAATTTGATTGTATAATTCGACTATAAAAATTGATAAAAGAGTTGGATGTTCTTCAATCAACTTTGCAACAGTATTTTCACTATTTTTTTGAACATCGTAAAGATACCAGGATGCTGTTGATTCGATTAATGCATGATAGCATTGTATATAATCATAACTAAGCATGCCAAGTAGAAATGACATATCTTGAAGAACACGACCAAATCCTGTACGAGCAGCTTTTGAAATTTTCTTTGATTCATGCCGTAATAAAATAGAAAATAAATCCAAATCATCTTGATCAAATACAACATTTTTTATAGATATACAATAGGAATAACTTGAAATTAGTGTATTCAGTACATGGTCAGAATAATTAGAACTCTCATCAAATATACTGTTCAATATCAATATAATTTTTTCATATAAAACTTTATACGTTTTTTCATTACATACATAGCCAAGAGCACATGCTACTGCTTGACGAATTTCATTATCGTAGGATATTTCGAATAAGTTCATTAGAGCACTAATTGCTAGTTGTCGTGTTTCCTCAGTATTATTCAGTAGTTTGTATAAATTTAATAGTACTGAAACAACAAATCGAGTATGACTTTCTAAAACTGCATTTGATGTTGTATCTCCATCGATCTCTCGAAATGAATAGAAATTCGATGTGATCATATCACACATATATAATATCAAATCACCAGATAGTCGAAATGAATTAGCATAGGGACAAGCATCGATTGCTATATCAGTTGAAAAAAATGAAGTTACATAAGAATTTTTCGATGATCTTAAATTATTGTAGGAATACTGCTTATTAACCAATGCATGTATTCTATATCTTTCTAGCCAAAGTAATACTTCTATATGAGATTGAACATCTAAATTTATATGTCCGAGTAATCCAGTTAATTTGAGCTTGGCAGATGCTGAAGTTAATTGATAATGAATTCTTTTCTTAAGTAAAATTAATATAACATTGATACTCATTTTTGAACTAGTTAGAATATCATGTTGACTTGATGGTCGACATATAATTTCAGCTCGGTGACGAAAACGATCATTATCACTGCATAAAAGATCACATAGAATTGTTGTAGCTTCAATAGACCATATATCAGAATTAATTAGAAGAAGTGCAGCATGATAAGCAAAACAAGAGAATTCATTTGAATCTTTCCATTTCAACCAAGATTCTAATAAACGACATGCTTTTAATTCAACCCATTTCATACGATGAAGAGCATTATTTAAAATAATTCGAAGTTTTTCGAATTGTTTAGATCGATCTGTTAATAAAACGAAAGAAATAATATTTGTTATTGTTATTGCTTGTATTTCTGTTAGAATATTATTTTCAAATTGAAATAATTTTGTTTCAATTGATTCATCAATACTAAATTGACGATTATCGGTTTTAATAATTGCATGAAAATCATTGGCTAATTCTATAAGATATAAATTCGAAATAGATAATGAAAATAATAAATTTCCATGTGCACTAATATTAAAATATGTTTTTAAAACAGAAGATTTATTATGTACTGTTCTGTTTTGATCTTGTAAGTTATACGAAGAACGATTTGTAATCGATGAAAAAATACAATTTAATTGTATGTATGGTAATAAAGCTTCAATGACTACTTGTTGATCACGTTGATCTGTATCGTCAAATTTATTAATGAGATTTCGAAGACAATTATCAATCATTTGTAAATTTTGAATTAGAGGTAAACATCGAATAAGAATAACTGTATGTAATAAAAGAGGTAAATTTGGATAAATTTCATTGAATTGATGTTCAATTTCCATTTTTAATGATCTATCTTTATTTACTTTAATTTGATCATAATCGGAATGTGAATAAAAAGCAATTATACATAATGCATCAAGACGAGTAAGTTTGTTCTCAATTGACATAGCTCCATTTATACTTTGTTCTAATAAAAATAATTTTCTTTCATTTTCAGTCCAACAACAAATATGTGCTAAAGTGATTGATGCAGAATAAAGTTTTATATTTCTTTGATCTTTTTCAATTGAAGCTTTTTGAAGTCTTTCATATTCTTGTTCAATATTATCTTGAATTATTGTTTTACGTTCTTCTTCTGTTAGATCAGATCCTTGAAAAAGATCTCTATCTATATCCGTATATTGACCAGTTTCATAATTCATGGAACGTTTCCTTTTTTTCACAAAATTATCCAAAGTATCAGAATATCTTAAAGCTAATGCCCATAAAAGACTACTGCCAAAATTTTCTAATTGATACATTCGAAGCCAAGGTAGTAGAGTGATTGAGGCTGCTAAAATTGACAATCTCTTGCACGATGCATTTGACAAAAATATTAAACATTCAGTTAGAATATGACTAAAATAAATATGTTCTTCTATATTAGCTATGTCATCTTTTGGATTGATTGTAATAAATTTTTCTTTCAATAATCGAACAAAAAGATTTCGTAAATGTGAAGGAACAAATGTTAATGGAATTAAAATATCTTCATCATTGTGAAAGAGTAAATATTCTGGTATTTTTTCCATAGCAACTGCCATTCTATATTGTGTTGCGAGCTCATCATTGTGTTCTAATGGCCAGAAAAGTTTAGTAAAATGATGAATTAATGAACAAGATTTTTGATCAGAATAAAATTTTACATCTGTCGTTAATAGACAATTGAGAAACTGACCTTCTTTTCGAAGAGAATTAGGCAGATGTAATGTTACTCGTCTATAAGGATTTGATGTTTCTTCGAAAAAAATTGATTTTGAAGAAGATCGTAAACGAGCTACACTACTTCTTAATGAATTTAATAAATTCAAAAAATGAATTTTCGCTGATTCAGAATATTGAAATTTATTGATACAAATTGAAATAAATTTTGTTGTTTCATTTTCTATCGATTGATCTTTTTCATCAGTAACAAAATAGAATTGACGTAAAATCATTGAAATATATTTTAATCTATTTGTACACATACGTAAAAAAGATTTGGAGATAATATTCAAATTATCTTGTATATATTCAATGTTATAAAAGCAAATAGTTGCAATACATAAATCAATTGCTTCTGATGATTCATCATGATTTTCCATTCGTGTAACAAATGATTTTATACATTCTTGTTTTAATTTTTTTATACTTTGATCTTGTTTATTATGATTATTTTCAGAAAAGAAATTTATTAACATTGGTGTTAATGCAGTTGACTCTCGATGAATATGAGAAGGATTGAAGACAACTATTTGATCATCTCGTGTTAAACCACCATATAAAGCAATGATTAATGGTAAGAGGATTACAGGTATGGAATTCATTTCAATATGTTTATCAAGTAAGAATTCTTTGAAAGTAGTTGAATTTGAAGGTAATAATTGATGATTTGAAAAAGCAATTTTAACTAACAGTCGATCAATAGCAAATCCATTATTTTCATTATCAAGTATTGATAAAGATTGAAGTATTGAACAAGAAGATTGATCTAACCATTGAATATTTTCAAATTCATGAGGTTTTCCTTCGATAAGATGACAAAAAGCTGTTATAGTTTGAATATGATGTTGAGAAGATTCAGATAAAAATTTTTTAATCCATAATGAAATAGTATCATTTCGAAATTTTTTCAATGCGTTTGTAATTTGATCGAGTAAAAATGGACAAACAATTGACCATTTATGTTGACCAGCTGCAACTATTAAATGATCTAAAGCATCGAATAAAATATCATTCGAAGGATAATTAACAAAATCATCAACAGAAGTAATCAATATATAAGCACCAAATGGTAATAGACAATCATATTTGTCTTGAGCTTGCATAAATTCATAGCAGAGATCGTCAAAATCATTTTGGCACCAAGAAGCACTAATTTTGCCTAAAGCAAGTGAAATTGTTACATGAAATCGTAGATCAGTTGCATGACGAGACAACAATTGAGCAATAAGTTGAATTTGATTGTCTCGATCGAATCCATCAATAATGAATCTCTTCTTTTTTATTGATGTATCTGTTTCGATGAGTTTCAAGCAAGTAAAATATTCTTGAAATGCTTGATGAAGAAAACCATAGAATGATTCATCTCGCCAAACTAAAATACCAATATCATCACGAATGATTTGTGCCATTTCAGATACTTGTCTCTCAAAACCATTGATATCATCTGTCGTTACTAATGTTTTACTTGTAGAAGTTTTGATCTTTTGAATACAAATTTCTTTTATTTGTTCATTGTTAATAAAATTCGATGTTGGATTTTTATAGATACAATAAGCAATATCAGTCAAAATTTGAATCATTTGTGATTGATCGATAGTTGATATTTTACTATGACATACATTTAAGATTGATTTAACAATTGACTCATATTGAAGAACACGTTGAATAGGTAAAAGTGAACCATCGACTTGACTAAAATATATAATGCAAATAGATGATAGTAAACAAGAATTCGAAGCCATTTCAAGAAGATTTATATTTTTCGTTGTTTCTAATTCTTTTTGCAGTGCTTGACTATGATTCTCTGCTTGATTAACTACTGAAAGACCCAAATTATCAATTATCCATTGATGTACACGAAAAAACCAATAATTAATAAAATCTTTTATATGTTTCTTGTCCATGGGTCGAATTGTATAATGAGCAAATTGTCCCGCTAGTGGAGCAGCATGATAACTACCTATGCGACTTGTGACTATCAATTGATTACCTCCTAATCGAGATGGATCATCTAATAACTTGCTTAAACAAACATTATCAAAGGCAGAAACATTTGTAGGTGTCTGAATATAAGTATCAACAAAGTTTTCAATAAGATTGATAATTTTTGAGCATTGATCTGAAGTATGAATTTCATTAAGACCATCTAATATAATAAGAGCTTGACCTTGTTGAATATAATCTTGAAGAGCACATGATATATCATTAGAAGAGATCAATGAATCATCAACAATTAACTTATTCATCCATTTATGTTTTCCAATATAATCAAATAAAGTAAGTGATGGTTGTTCTTTCAGTATTTCGGCAAATTCACCAATACGAATTAGAATTGGTATACGAAGAGGACCATAATCAGTTGAATTTTGTCCATTGAGAAGAAATATTTGAGCTAGATGATGAACAAGCCATCGAACAAAACTTGTTTTTCCACTTCCTGGATCACCCAAAATAATAATCCAACGTTTAGTTCGAATAATATTTTCCTGAGTGATATTGTCTTCTTCAGCCATCGACATCATGTAGGGAGCTGAAATTAATTGTTTCCATATGCCTTTAGATGATTCTTTTCGTCGTGATTCATTTCTTTCGAATGATGTAGATTTATCAGGTTTGAGTTGAATGAATGTACGTGTAAGAAGAAGTTTAGATAATCGCCATTTTTGTTCTAATTCCATTCGATCTTTGGAAGAGATTTGATAGATACTATTGGCAACTTTGGCAACAATATCACCAGTAAGACCAGGAATAGATTCATTTTTATGTAGTTCAATACAACCGCGAAGATAGGATTCAATCGTTTTGCGATATTTTTCACGTAAAAGATTAAGTTGTTCTATGATGGTTTTTTTTGTATTTTCCTCAATAATTTCTAATCTTTGCTTCATTGTCTTGTCAAAAGATTTCTGAACAAGAAGTTGTTGTTCCTGGCATGCGTTGCTAAGTATTTGAACCTTCATTTCATTGTCATCTGTTAGATTAACTTCATATTGAGCTAATCGAAATTGAAGACGAAGCAGTACTGATTCGAGATCTTTATAAGTCATTCCATTAAGATAATTTTCATTTTTACTACAACTACTAACAACCTCATTGATAGCATTTAGTAATTGTGCAAGATCTTCTTGTGAACAATTTTCATCTAATGTTCTACAAATGTCATTGAACGTACGTCGAATATTAGTTAAGCTAGTTGTTATCAGTTTGAAATGATCTTGACAAACTTTTACTTCATTGGCTCGTTGAATAAGATTATCGATTGACGTAGATACTGATGGAACGAATGTCATTTAGATTTTTCTAATATTTTGTTCTACAAGTAAACAAAAAATAACGAACAATGAACAGAAGTTAAAACGCTTAATATATAATTATGGCTTCTTTTAAACTGACGCTTTTATTTCGCTGATATATCCAAAAATTGTCCAGTATGCATGATAAAATTCTAAGTTGTTCTTTCGAACTTTTTCTTCAACATTGTTTTCTACAAGCGTAATTTTCATACGAGTATAGAGTATCGTCAGGTACATTTGTCTATAATTTGAGTTGAAAATCTCGCGAAATCTCATGGAAAAAGACCGCGAAAAAGAATGTCAGTTTTAAAGAACCCTCGGATTCTAATGGGCCTTAGACAGATAGATGCTTCTAACATTGCTCTTTCAAATGGTGTAAACCGTAAATGCCTATCCCTTTTTATTCTCGAGTTATTCCAAAAACAGTCACATGCACCGACTTTTTACGATTCGATTGCTAGACTTATCCAATTATTCAATCTGAATTTACCAAATTTTGTTAGGAAATATCACTAGATCTACTTTTATTTAGATGTTCTCCCTGTATGTTTATAGAAGAATCATTTAAACAACAGACGATAGTTGTAAAGTAGTCGAGAACGTGAAATTAAATAAAAAGAAAAAAGGCCAGTAATGTTTTTTCATTCCGAAGATTTACTACTGACTCGTGCCTCATGCGATAAAGACAACGAGAAATAGGTGGTTTTGTAGATGTTGAAAATTTTTCTTCTTATGCTTGTCTGAAGAAAAAATTAAGAGAAGAATTCTTTTTTTTTTTCTTCACTCCGTTAGTGTAAAGTATGATGAAAAGATTTCTTGTCGTAGACATTATAAGCTCACTGTTTGAAAACACATATCCTTCCTAAGAAAAAAAGACTAATGAAAAATTTTGGAAATATGTTTCTTTTTAGAATACACTAAGTAAAATATATAAGATTGTTTTGAGAAATATTCAAAAGAATTTTCAACGATCGAAATTACGTCAGTTTTGAACAGTCAAGATTGGTGACTTAAACATTTATAAAAATGAAACACAAACTTCAAATGGCAGTATAGAATTGAAAAGAGCATCATAAATTATATTGAATGAATTGTTTGGGTCTTAAAAACAAAAATTGAGTGGATGTCTCGTTTCTCTTTTTCTTTTTACGACGGGAGAATATATTTCTTCCAACTGAATGAAAAAAAAATGTTCGATTCTGCTCGGAAGAAACGAAAAATTTCCAAAGTTCATCAGTCTCACACTCTCGCCGTTCGGGTCATAACTGCTTCGATGAATTTTTCTTTTATAGTAAAATCAGTTAATTTAATTCTCGGAGTCTTTTGTGACTAATTTTGAGACTCTCTTATTATTTACTCTATGGTCTATTAACACTAGCAAAGATACTTTAACAATTCATTACCTATTGTTCTAAGTAAATCAGTTTGTTTTAATAGTCACATCCTTCTCTTTCGAAGGATATAAATCCTTAACAATAGAATTGCTATTTGTGGTTTTAAACAAAGAATGATGAATAAGAGCGCGTATTATTTATGCTTGGATTTTTTTCCAACATTTTATATGACACAATAGGTCGCTTCAACACTTGTTTTCTTCACTTACTTTTTTAATATTAAAATTGATGATCTACTCAAAGCGTTGTTAAACAGAGAGAATAATAGTCAGCAAAGTTTTGTTTAATGAACAGATGGTATTGGAAGACTCTATATCTGAAAAAAAGGAACATCAAATTTATGATCTGTAGTGTTACGATCTTCAGCTCGTTTACTGTACCATGATTCTGAAAAATTATGTGTACCTTTCAACAATATATATAGTAGTTACTTTATTTCTGTTCTGTCAACGCTGCGAATTGCATGACTCTTTTTTTTTACATACTTATCTTCAATGCAAAAAGAATTTATGTGTAGTGAATGATCAATATTTACTTTTGGCTTTTTTTCTTTCAAAGTTGGAAAAAAAACCCTTATGGGTTCTTTTGGTATTGACATCGTAAACAAGTGATATATAGCATTATTTTCATAGATTCGGATGCAATAAGATACTGTATCTGAGAACAAAAACGATAAGTAACGGAAAGTTAAGAAGGTAAATAATCAAGGTAAATATGACACCTATTAAAAGATCAACAAATAAGTAATATATTTAACAAAATACGAATATTAGCAAAGACAACCACAATGAAATATTTTTTGTAATTGATTTAGTCTGAATTAAAATATCTGAATGAGATGTAAAAGTAAGACTTAATAAATTTTTTCGAAAACGTTTCTGTGTTTTTTTTCTTGTTCTCCGATGGTTAGTCAGCATCGATTAGATAATATACGGGCCGATGTGAATCTGAATCTTCTCTTCACCTTTTTTTTTATATTGTAGTTGAATTCTCGACTACGAAAGCTCTTGTCTTGTGCTGAGCTTTTCTCTGGCTTATTGTTCATTGATTCAGTCAATATGATTTTTCTTGATATTTTATTGTTGATTAATACACAATTGAAACAAAATATGTTGTGGATGAGGGTGGATGTAGGCATAGATCTGTCCTTTACTCACGCCTCCCCCCACATCCCACAGCCACTCTCACACACTCACACCCACATCCAACCTTTAACTTCGAAATAACAATGTTCTGCTCATAATGTTGAATTCAATGAGACACGATCACTCCATGAATAAAGAAAGAATCACACGATGACAAAATACGACAACCAAAAGCTTGCAAAATGAAAGTTCAAAAATGTGTTGATTTCCTCTGTTTGATTCTTCTATTGTTCTTTCAAAATAAAATCGGTTATTTTTATCATACATATGTTGAATATTAATTAATCGTTGTTGATGTGTATGATAATAAACACTCATCCAATTCGGTACATCTCTATCAATGTAATTAATATATGAATATTTTGCTGAATCATTGTAGACCGCCAAATATACTTGATTTAACCAATTCATTTGTTGTTTTTCATGTTGCTCATCATTAGGATAAACTGTGAACTGAATACTAAATTTATAATGTCTATGTGGAAATGCTGTTTCATCAACTGGAATTGTACTTAAATATCCATCCCAAGGGATAAATATCATAATAATTTGACCATCGCCTGATGCTAATCCATCGATAAATTTATCAAGACTATGACTACTTATTGGTCGATCATAAAATAAATGTTTGGCTTTAAAATAATGTGTTGGATATGTTAAATTATCAAGTAACAATCGTTGAAGATCATCACTATCATCATCAATTCCTGACGTTTTATAAACAAAAGTTAACCAATCTTGTTCATACAAATCCGTTCTATTTGGAATGGGTAACGTTGTCAACAGTAACGATATAGTTTTATTAAATTCGTCAAATTCAATACCAAAATAAAATATTGAAATTGTTACATTAATCTTCGATACACCCATTACTAAAACTAGATTATTACTAAAGTTCGATATTTTGTCATCAAATAACAATGATTGATATCGTTGCATTACTAATTTTGTTGCATTTAGATACCATATAGATGAAAAATGCCTGACGAGTGACGGAGGTTTAACTAATCGAATTTTAAATTCTGTGACAATAACAAACAAACCTCCACCAGCACCACGTAATGCCCAATATAATTCGGGTTCATGAGTTTCATTTATTGTTATTAATTCACCTACAAGAAATATTTGACCTACATTTGTCAACGATAATTAACAAATCTACACTTATAGCTACTCAAAATACCGTTTTTCTGAGAAGACAGAAAACTGTCGCTTTAATCTTCGAGAATAGGAGTTTAAGATAAGATATCGGATTTTTAAACGTTGAAAAATCTTTTTGTACAAAACGAATGTAATATTCAAGATCTATGCGAAAATCTGCAACGAATGATATGCAGTATGTGTTTCGAAAAACGTTTCTATTCAAGAAAGACAACATGAGTAAAATATATTTACCTTGAGCATTAACAGCTTTCATTTCCAAAATATTATCGGATAATAATCCATGTAATCGACCAAGAAAACCTTGACCACCGCCAAGTGCATGACCAGCAAGTCCCACCCATGGACAACTGCCAGCATTAATTGTATAATTATATTGATATGTTCTGTAATAGATTGGACCAATTCTTGCACCAGCTCCAAATGTACCAGTTCCATCATATTGATTAATATGAGTGTAATTAATCGCTTCCATGTTAATAACAATATTGTTGTACATTGAACCTAAACAATAGCCTTCATAACTATGACCTCCACTTCTTGCATTGACAATATAATTTAATTTTGTTGCACATTTTACCACGTTTTGTACATTGTTACTGTCCGTTGCATAAACAATAACAGCAGGAAAATGAGAAATTCGACCTCCACGAACACTCGACAATCCACTAACATTAAAATGATCACATTGATATTGAGAGCTATTTTGATTTGCTAAAGTACTACATGGATAAATAGTACGTATTGACAATGGCAGTGACGATGAAAGACATGTTTGTAAATCGTCATTATTAGTTCTTGCTAATTTAAACTTAGCACGATAACTTACTGTAGTGAAGATCATTAGAAAAACATACACCAACAAAACGAAGGACAAAATCGTGGCAAATTTAACCATTGTAGTCTAGAGAAGTGAATCGTTCTCATGTTACCTATTTTTGTTACACAACATCAGAAGACATACAGCTCATAAACTCGACTGTCAATGATAATGTATGTAGAGCCCGCGCGCCAGTCCCAAAATTGAGGGGGAGGAGGTATATAAGAAAATGTCTCACAAGGGTAGTGAAAATTCAAAAAAATCTTGCTCGCTTTACTGGAGAATGGTAACTAATTTTCAATTCTTCACACCTCCATTTTCGTAGCTCTTAAATGACGTTAGTAATCACCATCTATTTATCAAATATAATACCCAAGTCTGTAACTTATATTCTGTTCGCCGAACTTTCATTAAAATATCTCCTACAAGTAATTCATACTACTTTAGTTTCTGAAGTATTTGACTATATTACTTCATCTTAATCACAAATAATAAATCATCAGATTAATAGTTGGGTTTTTCCTTCATTCAGTGTAGAAAAGATGGAAGTTTTTTGTTCTGTTTTATAATCTTCAGAACAATGTCAATGGCATCGTATGTGGTTTCGAATGTCTTTTATATGAGATGTAAACTCTAAAATTTTATTTTATGACCAAATTATTTGTCTATTTTTGTTCTTCGACAAGAGATGATGCTATGGTATCATGCTCCTGTCTATCCCTCATATATTTACGAGCAATTTTTGTTACCATAAGTGTATTTAAAGAGAGCAGAGCATCATAGGCGGCAGAACATTTTCAGCTTAGGATAGGCTCAATATTTCTTATAAAGTCCTCACCAACGGGCCAGAAAAAGGGATCGAATAATCTTTTCTACTATACTATTCAAATCAAACACGGTCAATATTCGTGTATGTTGTACTTACATTTTGTTATGTATAATATTAGTACAGATCAAAGCAGAATTTGAAACTTGTGGTAAAAGTGTATCCAAAACATCACGTAAATTTCTGGCTTCGTGGAACATCGATTTTTGAATAAAACGCATTGGATTCAAAATTTTCACCTTCAAATCCAGGTGTGTAGTCTTCATGCTCTCAATGAAATTTTCGATTTTGAATCTCATAATCATTTCACAGATATGGAATTCTTTTTTCGATCAGAATATTGGTGACTAGCACAGCTTACACAAATTCAAACAATATTGACGGTAATCTTATGATCATATGTGAGATTCTCGATCCATCGAATCGTCAAATGCTCCTGTCCACATTATACACGTGGACAGAATGATCACTAAATCTAACCCTGGTCTGCTAAGAGGATGAAAAATCTCACGTAAAAAAACATCCGTACAGTATCTTGATATCATGATAAGGGAATGATGGTGATGGTGATGGTGATGAGCGGAGGTTTATTAGTAATAATAAAAATGAGGAAAGATATAACAAAGAGGATGAGGAAAAAGAGGGAATGATAACAACATAGGAAAACACCAACTAGTACGTAGTCTGATGATATAAGCCAATAGAAGAAATGCCAATCAATGTCGAATGCACTACGTATGGTGACACCTAAGATGAGACTCTTTTTTAAAAACTGGTATTTACAGCATATGAAGTATGTCACTAATAAAGATTATTTATGATGTTAAATTCTTCTGACCTACTATAAACATGGAACTAAACTAAAATCAACGAGTTGATTTAACGACATCTTCCATTTATATTTGTTCTCAAACCAAATTGGTTGTACTATTAATGAATTGTGCGTGTAGTGTAGCGCCATTATTTATGTGAGACTCGTCTCTCGCGAAAATAAAACATATAAGTAAGTATACCTTCTGCTTTTATACATTTTTATCAATTTTTTTTCTGATCTTTCTATTGAATTAAGTGAATAAGTGGATCTCACAATCGACATTGATTTGATGATTCATGCATATATAACAATAGCTTAAACAACAGGTCAATCACTGAGAGGAGAATAGAAAAAACCAATAAAAAGGGATGGGAATGGTTAGAGATAATAGAGCGACCTCTATTGACACTAACATAATCAAGTTAAAACTAGCTCTTACTCACAGCTAGAACCGTCAGATCCAAATTCAGAAACTTAAGTCCGAATTCGGACACAATCAACAAAAAATTTTATATCCAGAGATGAATCCAGACCCAATCAACTCCTGGACCGATTCGATAACCTACACTCTTAACAGAGGAGTTTTTCATGTATATTATCACAAGAAGCCAGAATAACAGTGACACAGCAGTGTTCACAGAAGAGAATTTGAATTGAGAATTTGTTTAGCATATTGAAAATCTTTGATTGATAACTGAGAGCAACCATTTAAGAGGAAAAGAAATTTGGGCAGCGCCTAGTTGATCTAACTATAAGTATCCTGTACGGTTTTCCTTCACATGTATTAAAGAAGCGTAATTTTAACTCACTGTCAACATAAATTACGACATATAGCCATACGAAACCCAATTTTCTTCCCGAAAATGTTATTAGTTGCCGCAAATGATGGCGAAAAATTTGATTTTGATAGAAAACTTTTGAGGCACTACACAAATGTGTCGATCTGGTGGAATGAGAAATAAATTCTGAGCCTTTATTAGTCTACAAGTGTGAAAGAGTGTAAGTTTTAGTATGCTCAGACCTTACGAATCCATCGCATGTTGTTGATAACAGATAAAATATGAATTAACCTCGTAGCAATGCATTATCTGTTAGAATCAATGAAAGCTTAACAGTAATATAAAATTCGTATGTTGAATGAAGTCCATCAAAGTCTTTTTATCTGCCCAAATCAGATAGACTAGAACCTACCCAAGCCTCGATCTGTCCTAATTTGAGCCTATCCAAGTTTTCCCAGACCTAATGACTCCGCCGCCTATGCAGAGCATAGTAAAAATAAAATATAAACTTGACTATCGTAAAGCTCTTTGAGAGTCAATAAAAGATCTTGTCAAATTTTCTCTTATCACAGAGTGTGAGTGTGGATGATCTCATCTTCACTCTCACCCACACCTTCAAGAAATATCATCTAAGGTTAAGCGCAATAGCACTCGATAAAATATGAAAAAAAATCAAGCACGTTCTCATAAATTACAAAACACCAAAAAAAGGCGTACTTATGCTTTTCAATTATGACCGTTTTCCAATGAATGATTGTCGTTTGAAGCAGCTGTTTCTTCTTGTATTGATTGAATAGCAGAATGAATTCCAATGCGAGATGTTGATGATGCTTCAGTGGATGTAGATAATTGTGATATTGTTTCACACGGTCGATTAAGGTTATGCGACAACTAGTCTTTCTTAAATGCTGCAGACTATAGATTATTCGATGTTTTTTTTTTTATTTCCTGATTCAAGATACCAGGCAAAGAACGACATCTCACAACGTATGAATCTGAAAAAAACACACACTAGTTTGATCTTGTGAATACTTCATATTGACTCATCGATCTATTCGTCTGAGTTACACAACATTAGAAGTGTAAAAGAAAAAGACAAGGTAGAAAAAAATCAAACTGTTTAAACTGTAGGTTACAATATTTTTTCTCCGCCTCGTCGTGTTGTATTTTTCATACAATTAACGTATACAACGCAAGCACTACTTCTTGCGTCCTCTTCTCTTTTCTGACAAAAGAAAACGTATCGAAAAATCTCTCTTTTGCGTTCTGTTCTCTTCCCATGTGTTCGATTGCGGTCAAATTGCGACGCAGTTATGCGTAACTGCAATAAAAAAATCGTAGTTACGCGTAACTGTATCGCAGTTTGCGCAATTACGGGTCACAGTGCGATCGCAGTTGCACGTTGTTACAGTAAAAAAATTACAGTTGCTAAAAAAGACGACAAGGTGATTCTTTCACTTTATTAATATTTTTATTAGGAATTAGAAAAAAAATTTTAAAATACAAAAAATTTAAAAATTAAAAAAAATTGCTAATAAAAAAGTTTAAAAAAAGTTTAAAAAAATAGAAAAATTTAAAAAAATTAAAAACATATAGAAGAAAAATCTAGAAAGTAAAAAAATTATATAGAAAATCAAGATTTATCAATTATTAAATATCCTCATCTTACTGAACTCTATCTTGATAAAGCTCTTTATGATTATGTCGACTAATTCTAAATGATACGAAGATATATTTGCCAAATAATGTTTAGTTTATTGTCGATTATGAAGTACTGAAACAGGGTTACGGGAAATTTCACAAAAGATACAGTCCGAATCAATTGTGTAAAACTGGCTTCTTTATGTGTACTTAGTAGATGTAAAGTTACTAAACATGTAAAAGACTATTTTTCTCAAACAAATTCATTTTGATTATTGTAAAGTATTACTAAAATAAAACAGACAAAAGCAGATTGATTTACATAGATTTAATGCATTACAATACAGAGAAAAGGATGAAGGAGAGTACTAGGGTGTGGATGTGGATGTTGGTGTTGACCGTATGTGTCGGCGATAGTCTTCTCTCTACCCACACCTACATCCACACACGTAGCTACACCATATATATCCTCTATGTCTATATCCTTTATACCTTCTGTACCTTCTATATCTCGTGTATCTGCTATATCTACTATGCTAGTACTTAATTAAGTTTTTCAGAAACACTGAAAAAACATCTAATCCATCCATCCATATCTACACACCCTGCTATTTTAGTTTTTTTTTAATTTTTCAATTTTTAGATTAAATAATTTCTAGCCTTTTTCTACTTGTATACATAATTTCTTCTGATTTTTACGTTTCTAAAAGTATAAATAAACCGGTTCTAGGAGATAAATCATCTTCTAGAATTTTTGAAAAATTTAGATGCAAGTAGCACGTAGATTGTAGAATGAAAATCGACCAATAGAAAGATCTGTTACCTTCCGTTTGTAAGTTTCGTATACGCTGTTGTATGATATGCAGGTAATGGTTGGTACGCGTACGACATCATAGAGGTCACATTTGGTGTACATCATATCATCTCTATGTTCGTCACGCGTAGCACGGCGTACGAGTCAACATGGGCAAAAAAACACGTGTCTCTCTATACCATATACGAGAAAAATATTAATTGGTTTTTCTTTCATTATAAGTGCACTCGTATTTAACAATTAATGGTTGGCATCGATTGAACTCGTCGATGCTTAGATTTGATCAAACGCAATATTAATTTTTCCCTTTTTGATTTTTGGATTCAGTATCCTTCAGCATTAGAACTTGATGGAAATGTTACTTGGCTAGGAAAACATCGTAAATTATAAATATGCCAATCAATTGAAGAGAAATTTATATGTAAACTTTCTAAATAGGCTAATCCAGGTCTATGAATATTTAGTCTAAATACATCTGTAAATGATCGCATACAGCTTCGGCTTAGAAAATAGTAAGAGAGTGATTTTTTTCTATATAAGACAGTATCTCTCGCTCGTAAATCAAGCAATCTAATGACCAGGATTCAGATCCGGATTTTGTGGGAATTCGACTATCGGAATCTTGGTCACAGGATTCCCGGTTACTTTTGATAGAATTCTGTCGGTATTAAGACGATCGGACAAGATCTAATGCATTAACTTCGACCTAGGCTGTATATGATGCAGATATATACGGTCATGATACTGAGCGTCAAATCTGTTAGAGAGAAAATCAAACTCTTCAGTAACTTAGATGTCACTAGTAGAAAGAAAATTAAATTGAATTAATCAAGTTTATTTTCGATAGAATCAAGAAAACTATAATTGTACTAAGATAACACTAATCAATTCACTATTATTAATTTAAAAAAGAATCATCTGCTAATAAGTTTGTTTATTTATTATTTTCTTTGTGTTTTTGTTTTATAAAGACTAACGTTTAATGTTTATCTTATTAAACAAATAAGAAAGTCTATTGATTCGAGTAAATCTATTTCATAATAGCATCAAGAGTATTCATCGGATTGATTTGATCCATTGGCATTATGTTATATTTTTCATCGAATCAATCAAGTATAAAAGTAATTTTCAATGAGATTCAAGTCTATGGAAATCAATTCGAGCCATTTTTTTGTGTTCTGGTGTATGACAAACATGTCAATGAAATTTTGCTTGTTTTTCAAATATTTCGTGATCAGCTACCAAGATATATATATATATATATATATATATATGTGTATACCAACAAAATATAAGTCTTATTTTGTAGTTCGTTCTATTAAGTGGAATATTTTTAATTACTAAAATGATTTTCAGCTTTTATTAAAGTATATAGTAAAAGCAATAGTTGGCACGCACTACAAAAGAACATCATAATTATTAGTTTTTCTTTTTTCATTATGTGATGTATTAATTCATTTAGTCGACCTTCTCATAAATAATTTTATCATGTTTTCTATTTTAATGTCGCTGAAAGCTTTTCATTATTTTATGTATAAAACATTTCTTTTTTTTTTTTTGGTTATTTTTAAACTTGCATTAGCTTGATGTGCAAATGTTATTTTCATTTATATTTATCACGTAGAATAATATCACAGATTAATCTAACAACAAAAAGTTGATCGTTTTAATCGATGCAGACAAAGCAAGCATCATAGTATCAAGGTATGATTACTTAGTTTCTATAAATCACAACTACTTATATATATGAGTGAATTGCACAGCCATTGTATGGTCTGGCAAAAAAAGTTTCGAACATAAAGACTCTGATTAGTACATTTGATAGAGCTGTTTAGAAAGCGCTTTTGTTAAGTATTATGAGTTGAAATATAGACAAAAGAACCTCAGTGGACATTTTGTAGAGAAAACTCGATTGTATAAAAAGTTCTAAAAAACTTTTTTTTTGCGAAAATGTATAGGTTATCACACTCTATCTTGGAAATTTTTAGAAATTGTCATTCACATATGAGCTCAGTACTAATCTCAGTGGACAGAATTTGCAAAAAATGTATTAAAACCGAGATTTTTAATACAATCGGATCCAAATCCTATTTTATTTTAAACTCAAAATGCATATCCCTGAAGTCTGATTTTCAAACTGTGAGAAACTCTAATAATCATTTAAAACAAGTTTATATCAATGAGAGAAAAAAATGATTCTTTCTCCATGTAGAGCTAAAAACAGGTGTTTTTTTTGAAATCTTGTTTGAGGAAATTTAAAATCTATTGAGCAGAATAGCTTTTATGAACACGACACTCTTCAACCACTAACTGTACAATGTTTATGCAATTCATTTATTGATAGCTATGGAGAGACGTTTAAATCTATGAATTATGTTGAAGTAAATAGCGAACAACTTAATACACTTTAATTAATTCGAATATTATTCAACTTCTCTTAATGCATATTGTAAATCTTTGAAAGAAGAAAATGATTTGAAATGTTTATTACAATTTGAACTTTTGAAAATAAATATCTTAGGTATTTAGTTTTAGATAGTATTCACAATGGAATTTTAATCTAAAATAGACTTATTTTTATATTTATTTGCGTTCGAAATATTCTTAAGATAAAAATGATTTTTGATGAATTAATTGTAATTAAAGTTTGCTTGGAAATTAACTTGATGTATCCAATTTGAAAGAGGACAAGATCACTGTGTTGTTATTTAAATATTCAAAGTAAGATATACTTGAAAAAACATAAATAGAATTTTATTTTATTAAAACATTTGATTATGATAATAGAATCGTGTCTAGGTTAAAGAAATTTATATATATTGTAATTGACTTGATGAAATTCATTTAATACAAAATTGAAAATACTTTTATTATTTACCAGGTATATTGAGTTATTTCTTCAAAAAAAGAATCGTCAAATATTTAACAAGAATATTTTAAATAGCCATATGTGGATGTATACTTACGATAAATATACTTTATTTCACTATAGAAATAATTATTTTTAGCATCGACCAACCTGTCAATTTGTAATATTATCTTTTTACGAGAAAAATAACGTTGCCATATGATAATACTTTCCAAGCATACACGAGCGTGTTTTTATTTTCTTGATGTGTATATTTTAATATGACAAACGCAAATATATATAATATTCAATCTCAATAGTTTGTACCTGATGTAGATAGGAAAAATGCCCGTGCTTAAGTGACTATTGGATTAGGGGCCAAACAGACTGAAAAAAATGAATTAACTTAAAGTTGAATTAAGCAACGTGATTGGTCTATTCCGACTTAAATGGTCTATTCCAGACGATTTATTCGTTAATTCAGTTTTAATTCGTCTGATTTTTTTCAGTCTGTTTGGGGCCTTATAGAAAAGAGCGGGTTTAAGGTTTGAGTAGGTATGAAAAAAAAACACGGACCGATAGTAAAAAAGAACATGCATGTCAATAGTGACATTCATTTATGATGATAAAAAAACAGTTGAAACGTGATCTTAGACACGTTAATATCATATGGTAAAATAATCGATCATCATTTTTTAATCGTATGGTTTGATTGGAATATGTGATTATTCTAGTGAGTACTTAATTTGAAAATTGATCATAATAGTCTGCATATCCGTTTGAGGGAAGGGAAGATTGATCATTATGCTTGTTTTTATAATTTTACATATCGAACATTGAAACTAGTATTTTGTTACATACATGGTATCGATTTTCGAATCATAATTGAAATAAAACTTTTGATTTTTTCTTCAGGAAAGAATTCACTGATTGATATTTTTCAGATACCTTTTTTTTTTAAAATTTTATAAGATAATTAAGAAAATGCGTGAATACAAAATAGTCGTGCTTGGTAGTGGTGGCGTTGGTAAATCAGCATTGACTGTACAGTTTGTTCAAGGATTATTTGTTGAAAGATATGATCCAACGGTTAGTTGTATAAATAAGAAAATTTATAAATTATATAATTTTTATTCTCAATAGATTGAAGATAGTTATCGAAAACAAGTAGAAGTCGATGGACAACAATGTATGCTGTAAGTTTGAATTTTTGAAAAAAATAAATAGTATTTTTATTTAGATTTTCTTTTCTTTTAGTGAAATTTTGGATACTGCTGGAACAGTAAGTTATTTGAAAATTTTATTCTCTTGTCCTTTTGTAAAAACATGTGAAGAAGTTTGAGATTTTTCTATGACTTTTTTTTTGAATGACCTAGAGGTATTACACTTATTGATCAATAAAAACATAATCTAATCACGAACTATTTTGATTGTTTTTTTTTGTCTCTAATCTGACATTTAAACATATTGATTATACATAAGTAATAGTTTCTATTGTTGCGCATCGATCATGTTACAAAATAGATATCTACAATTATAGTCATAGTAGACTATTCAATTTATTGCTTTTTTTTTTGATAATGATAATTACAAAAGGTAAAGTTGCTAAATATCAAAAAGCAAAAGGTCTTAGTTACAATGTTTTATAGTACATGGAAAAATAAACGAATAAGAGATCTTTTTCTCTTTTCACAATCGCAGATTGCAATAAGTAAAAGTTTTTGATATTCATGCGTTATAATATCAGAAGGTGTGATATCTCTTAAATGAATATCATTGTTAACAATGATTTTATCCAACTAGTTAGTAAACTCCGTATATCGTTAAATATTTTTCAGGAACAATTTACTGCTATGCGAGATTTGTATATGAAAAATGGTCAAGGATTTGTACTTGTATATTCAATAACTGCTCAATCGACATATTATGAGCTTATTGATTTACGTGATACAATTCTTAAAGTAAAAGATACAGCTGATGTAAGAAAAAATTTTGTTTTTTTATTTAGATTATTTATATATCTATATTTTTTTTTTTTGAATGTTTAATATAGGTACCAATGGTATTAGTAGGAAATAAATGTGATCTTGAAGATGAACGTGTAATTGGGAAAGAAGTTGGTCAAACATTAGCACGTAATTGGAATGCAACATTTCTTGAAACATCTGCTAAACAAAAAATAAATGTTAATGAGGTTCAATTTTTTCTTTGTACGATTTATAAAAGCAAAACAACTAATTTTGATATTATTTAGATATTTTTTGATCTTGTTCGTCAAATAAATAAACGAACAGCAGTAAATAAAGATAAAAAAATTAAAAATAAAAATTCTGGTCAAATTATGAATTCAAATCTATCAGCGTCAAGTGGAAACAATGATGTTGATAATTTACCAACAAATTTATCAAATCCAGCAACTGTTTCAAATGATCAAGGTTGTTGTATACTTTTATAAAATTCCAAAGATATATATATTTCCTATTTTTCTCTTCTTATGCCAATCCTATGTTTCAGTCACCCATTTTTCTTTCTTTTTTCTTAAACTTATTATTATTATTTTTTTTTGTTGATGTACGTTTTATTTTCTATCTGGTCAAAATTAATTCCTTTTAGATCTGATTTGTTCTATAAATAAGAAAAATATCATTAATGTATGTGCTCGAAAAAGAAATCGTGCAAAATGAGGTATTAAATTCATTCGTTCGTTTATCTTATGTAAATCTAAAATTATATTTTTTCCGAATTCGTCTATTTTTTTTGCTCTTTATTCTACTTGTATGCAGATAAAATCAAAAGATAAATAAGAATAAAATAAACTTTAGTCGATTCGAATTTCCAAATAGGTACGCACGTATTTCAATTCTTTGAATTGATGCATCCCTAGATACAATTGTCCATTGAAGTTGCTTTTTTTTTTTGAAAAATTGAATTATCTGAGAACACATCATAGGCTACAAAGACAGTTGAATCAACATTAAACAAAGCAGTTTTAATATTAAAAAAAATCCTATTGCATTCGTACATGTTAATTACACATGTTTGCTAAAAAACTTGGAAATCTTGTTATGCCAGTATTTTTCTATATATATGTCACCCTCAAATTGTTTCATATATTGCTTGATAGCCTATGACGAGTACTATCGAACACCATATTTTAATATTTTATTCGGTCATATTTAGAAGAAATAAGAGACAAACATCTTTCTTCCATGGACATCACACAATTTTTTACAATATTAATTTCAACATTTTTGAATTCTTCAGGTAAGAAATGTAAGGAAAGTTAGCAATCGATTCGAGTATTTTCCACGACGATTCGTCTGATGGACTAAGTCACAAAATAAAACTAGTAAGCCATCTAGAACTCGGCGAGCTCTATCTAATAATGTCATCAGATCCCCAGAAACTTTCATCTGAACGCCAAGAAACCAAAAAAATCGAAAATGTCCACAGGCAAAAACTACAATTTTTTGTAAAAACCACGACGATTCACCTGAGTACTTAAGCCACTCGTGAGTCATACATCAATTGATGCAAAATTTCACCTTCTATCTAATGGCATATACCGGATGTCCCAAAAGTTCCTTCCACTTAAATTTTTTGTATATCTTTACTATTTAATTCCATTTTATCAACTATTGTTTTTCTACATGATAGGTAGATACACCGAGTTTTTATTTATAAAGACAAACTTCAGAAGTACTGCTCAAAGCTAAGACTTAGAATCGAAATACAAAAATGTAGCCTATTTTCTATTCCCAGAAAAACTTATACATCATATCTGTTCCAATTGGTGGAATATTGGCGTGACAAGATTCGGTTCGTTTATATGAAGACATACCAAAGTAAAATTCTATGAAAAGACTCGTTAAAAATTGAAGAACTCAAACATTTGAACTACTTAATAACCCGAAGTGATTAAAAAAGAAATTTTGTATAATGGTTTTCTGGGAATAGAAAATAGGTTACATTTTTGTATTTCGATTCTAAGGCTTAGCTTTGAACAATACTTCTGACGTTTGTCTTTATAAATAAAAACTCGGTGTATCTACCTATCATTTAGAAAAATAATAGTTGATAAAGTGAAATTAAATAGCAAAGATATACAAAAAATTTAAGTGAAAAGGACTTTTGGGACACCCGGTAATACGAGTGATATACAGTTGGCGTCGAAATTATTAGTACGATTTTGCTTTCAATCAAAGATAACCAAAATGAGGTCGTTTTGAGATTTGGTGGATATTAAAAGAACCACCACCTCTTCTAGTATTTACACTATAGAAACTAGAATTTTTGACTGAGCCTCTGTAAAATGATAGGTCAATATTTAAAAATCACGTACGTTTTCTACGCAAAAACTATTCGTACGATAAGTGAACTTGACTTTTCTGTTTGGAAAACTTCCAGAAGGCTTCACGATAATAATAATAATAATATGGCAAAAATACGCCAAAATAGCTTGTTTCCGTGCATTATTTCCATAGCTTGATGAAAAAACGTAGGAATCTTCAGCTGCTGAAATGAATACTTCTCAAGGTTTTATTGCTAACATTTTATTTGAATAATTATATTTGATCGATAGAAATATTCTTTAGAAAGCGTTTTATCGTGAAAATATTTGTCACTCATCGTTCTATTTAATGACATTATTATGGATTTTTTGAAATTTTTTCAAACAGAAACAGTCAAGATCACTTATTCGATGAATAATTTGTGCGTACAAAACATGTGTGATTTTTAAAGATTAACCTATCATTTTATAAAGGTTCAGTCAAAAATTCTGGTTTCTATAATGTAAATACTAGTAGACGACGTGGTGGTTCTTTTAATATCCGCCAGATCTTCAAACTATCTTATTTTGGTTATCTTTGATCGAAAACAAAATCATACTAATAATTTCTGCGACAACTGTACAATTGGTTCGAATTATATGCTACCCACATGCATGTTTTCTTTTCTTTTTGTTGACGTTTAGCTATATATCGTTGAAGATACATTCCGCCCATAAAAGTTTTGACTACTGTATGCTACCATGGGTGTAGGTGGGTCTAGCTGTGGCTGTGAGTAAGTGTGGATGTGGAGTGTTGGTGTGGATGGGTGTGAGTGCGGTTGAAATGAAGATCCATATCCACACTCATATTCTCAATTTTTCAACGTATTCATTAATCCCAGCACTTCTCCTAAAAAGATCCATCTTATTCATTTAAATGTCAAACAACATGGAATAATTGGTTATTATTCGATTAAACTGACATGATACGATTTAGCAAAGCATGGTCGGGGAGTGTGAATTTCCTCCATTCACTGACTTTGAAGGACTATCATATCTATATTGGCATATGTTTGTTAATATTTAATTACTCTATAACACGAAACACACATTTTGAATCTAATTCATATTCATTTATTCTTGACAAATCTTCATCACGCCATTGAGAATCGGAAAGAACCTGTACACTGAAAAAAATGGTACGATACCGAACCAAAAAGAGTATTGTGAACGAAAAGAAGGTTTCGCACATAGCATGGAACCTAAAAAGGTTTCGAATTCGTTTCAATTCTCTGAACCATTTTAGGTTCGGTACAGATCACTACGAAAAACTTGAAAAAGTGTTCTGAGCCAATGACAGTCAATTTTAGTCACCCAAAGTTTTGTATGAAACCTTTTGAAGGTTTCGTATTGTCTTCTTAAATGGTTTCGTAACCATACAAATTCTTTTGCAGCGTACCAAACCATTTTGGAAGGCAATATAAAACCCTCAAAAGGTTTCGTACAAAACTTTGGGTGACTAAAATTGATTGTCATTGACTCAGAACACTTTTTCAAGTTTTTCGTAGTGGTCTGCACCGAGCCTAAAATGGTTCAGAGAATTGAAACGGATTCGAAACATTTTTAGGTTACGTACTATGTGCGAAACCTTTCTTTCGTTTACGATACTCTTTTTGGTTCGGTATAGTACCATTTTTTTTAGTGTATTTCGTACCCTATTATTATTGGCATAATGAATAAATGAACGTATGAAGAATGTACTCGTTTATTTTTTCAAAAGAAACTTTTTCCCTGATTCTGAAACTATTAGTAGATTCCTCATTCTTTATGAGAATCGATTATGAAGCAACTTTGAGATTCTTTATTAGGAGATTCGACATTTATTATAATATGTTTGTTTTCATTATAGTCATGTTGTCTCAAAAAGAATACCAAGATGTATTATGAAAATATAACAACAT